GAAACAAAGGTGAATAAGTAAAGGCACTAATTAAAATATATACATTTATGTCTCCTTGTATAATTTAATTACTACCAACATTTATTTATTTACTTTATTTTTTTGTGTATTTAATTGGATGTTTATTTATTTGTTTATTTATTTATTAGGGCCCGAGCACGACCGTGCGAGGTCCCTATTGAATTTGCTCGGATTATTAGGGCCCGAGCACGACCGTGCGAGGTCCCTATTGAATTTGCTCAGATTATTATTATTATTATTATTTTTCTTTTTTTTCTCTTTTTTTTTCTGCAAAGTAGGCTCAAATGACATGGCCTAAACATACTCGAAAACTCACCAAAATTTGCAAACATGTCAGAACCGGTGAAAAATTTGATTTAATTGCTTCTGCATTTTCTGCAATCTTTTGCCATATTTTTGTGCATTTCAGCTTCTTTGTGCATTTGAATTAAGCTTTTTTTGCATTTTCTACGGTGTTTTGCAATTGTTTGAGCATTTCAGCTTCTTTGAGCATTTGAATTAAACTCTTTAGCATTTTTCCGCAGTTTTTTGCAAGTTCGTTCCAGCTTCAGCATTCACACGCACCTTCCGCAGGAAGTGCAAAATTTCTAGTATTAACATTGTCATCCTCCTGTGTGTTTCGTCGGCACGCTACTCCAAAGCTTTATTATTATTCTTCCGTACGTTTTTTGGCCTTTGATAACTTCAGCATACTTTGTGCTACAAAAACCATTAAACTATCATAATGTTCAGCTCTTTAAGGACATTATGGGAAATATTCAACTATTTTTGTAACTTTTATACTTTTTAAGCTATTAAGCTTTTTAAACAGTTTTTTTTACAATGTAAGTCAATGGAGAATCGTGTTTCAGCTACTTCAGCTTTCAAAGCCTACTACTTCTGCATACTTTCCGCTATTTCTCTCATTTCAACTTTAAAATGTTAAAAAATCTTTAAGCTATTGAAGTTGTATTCAACTTTATCATATCTTTTATACTTTTTTCACTACAGCTGTTTTAGTTTGATGAACTCTTCAGGCTTTTTTTTGAGTTTATAATGGGGAGCGGATGGGGAAATATTCAAATCCTTTTTAAACTCCTTAGGCTTTCAGAGCCTACTACTTCTGCATACTTTAAGCTATTTTTGTCATTTCAACTTTAAAATGTTGAGATATCTTTAAGCTATTACTTAATAGCTAACTTTCTCAGTCGCGGCACCGAGACTGTGGAATGAATTGCCTCTCCATGTCAGACTGGCCCAAAGCCTTCCGGTTTTTAAATCACGACTTAAAACACATTTTTATTCCTTGGCTTTTAATCTGGCATGAGAACTGTATGTTCTATTTGTCTGGTGTTGTATTTTTGTCTATTTATTGTTTCATGTCAATGTACAGCACTTTGGTCAACCTGGTTGTTTTTTAAATGTGCTTTAGAAATAAAGTTTGATTGACTGATTGATGATTCAGCTATGTACTACCTTGTGCTAGGATTCAGCTATGTATTACCTTGTGCTATGTAATACCATCTTCCATGTTTTTCCTTTGACAAACTCTTTTCAACTTGCAGTTTTGACTGTGTAACAACATTCAGCTTTTTAACAATGTATTTCAACTCTGATCAGCTTCCAGGTTCTTGTAGTGCAATTGAGCTTCAAAACTTTTCAGGCATTTGATTTCAGCTGTTTTGCATTTTCTGTAATCTTTTGCAATTTTATTGGACATTTCAGCTTCTTAATGCATTCGAATTAAGCTTTTTTTGCATTTTCTGCGGTGTTTTGCAATTGTTAGTGCATTTCAGCTTCTTCAACAATATTTTGCAAGTTTTTTGTACATTTCAGCTTCTTCAAGTATTTGAATTAAGCTCTTTTGCATTTTCCCGCAGTTTTTTGCAAGTTCGTTAAAGCTTCAGCATTCACACGCACCTTCCACAGGAAGTGCAACATTTCTAGTATTAACATTGTCATCCTCCTGTGTGTTTCATTGGCACGCTACTCCTCCTGCGTACTTTGTGCTACAACAACCGTTCAACTACCAAAATGTTCAGCTGTTTAAGGACATGTGGGCTTGTATACAACTTTTTTCTAATATTTATAATTTTTTTAATAATAGGCTTTAAAAAATCTATCCTTTTACATTGGAAATGAATGGAGAAATCTTCAAATCTTCTTCAAGCGGGCTCCACTTTGAAAGACTACTCTGTCTGCATACTTGTGTGTCTTGTGTTCTGATTGGTGGACAGTCATTGAGCTATTTTCTGAATGAACTTCACTGTACTGCACAGAGACTACTGCTTATAATTGTACTACTAGTGGTAGTAATGCTGCTAGTTACGACTATGTAGTACCAGTACCACTATTTGTACCACAGTCTATACTGCTACTCGTACTACTACTTCTTTTACTACAAATACTACTACTAACTAGTACCACAGTCTTCATCTCTACTACCAATACTATTACTACCTGGTACTACTACTACCATTACTAGTATTAGTAATGTTAGTAATGCAGTAGTTACTACAACAGCTGCTAATACTCCTACCACTAATAATACTTCTTGTACTTCTACTGCAAACCACTACTGCACTCACTAGTACTATTACTACTACTACTTCTATCACTACTACTACTACTACCGGGTACTACTCCTACCAATACTACTACTACTACTACTACTACTACCACCCGGTACTACTACTACCACTACTACTACTACCTGGTACTACTACTACTATTAGTACTATTAGTAATGCAGTAGTTACTAAAACTGCTAATACTCCTACGACTAATCATACTTCTTGTACTACTACCACCAATACAACTGCACTCACTAGTACTACTACTACTACTACTACTACTACTACTACTACCACCACTACTACTACTACCTGGTACTACTATCACTACTACCTTGTACTATTTCTACTATTAGTACTATTAGTAATGCAGTAGTTACTACAACTGCTAATACTCCTACGACTAATAACCCTTCTTATACTACTACCACCATTACAACTTTACTCACTAGTACTACTACTAATACTTCTACTACTACTACTACTAGGTACTACTACCACTACTACTACTACTGCTACTAATAATAATAATAACACTTCTTTAGAATGTAGGCACTCAGCTGATTGTGATGATGTAATCAGGTCAGTTTGATTGACAGACACACAAACACACACAGAGAGACACAAACAGACACATGCACAGACACAAGCGCACACACAAACACAAACGTACACACACAAACAACACAAACACCCACGCAGAAACACACACTCTCACACACACACACACACACACACACACACACACACACACACACACAAATTACAAAATAAAAGCCCTATTGTGTTAATCTTAGTCAGGTTGGGAAAGGCTTCTCAATAGTTCTCCGGACCCAAATTGTTCCATATTAAAACCACAGACAGTTAAAGCATCTTTACAGGGAATTCACATACAATACAGAGGCACATACACTGTTTCAATGGCTTACCTTCATTAAAGGTGGGCTCAGGGATTCTAATTCAATACACTGTTGTCAAATTCAGTGAATATCTCCTCACAAACTGTCCGTTCTGAAAAATTATCTGGTGCTTGTACTCAGCCCTGGCTCTGTAAATGGAAAACAAAAAAGGTGTCTAGCCCTTATTCCTGTCAGTCAGCCACAGAGGGCATTGGTTATTGCCAGGTTCTAGGCTGCTGGAACCAGTTTCCCTCCAACCTCTGCCTCTTCCTCTGTTTCCTACTGCCTCTTCCTCTGCAACTCCCCCTCTAGCCCACGAGGAACGGAGCTACACCACGAGAGTAATGAAACATAAATAACATCCAACATATTACCATACCTATTTGGTGTAGAAATATTTTACTTGCCACGGTGTGTATCAGAGACTGCTGAGTATTACTGTTACTGGAGAAGTTACTAGTAATAATATCAATCGATACATATGCTAAGCTAGGCTTATATAAGTATTTGACTTGACCTATTCAAATACAGGATTATTGCCACACTTGCTACAGTAGCTACTTCAAAAAACATAGGACACATAGGAATTGCTTCCCCTTATCAAGGCTAAGTGACCCTCGCGCAGAAGATGCCCTGGATTCTGCCATATTGCCGAGTTGTTAGTGTCATTACCATGGCAATGCGTGTCAATGAATTTGGGGGAGGGGGGGGTTCAAATATCAAGAATATTTCTCCAGAACCGCAGACCCACCTTTAATAGTTTCAATCTTTGGACAGACACAAGATATAGCTATAATGGACCTTGTGTGCTGTTCCAAACCCCATTTTGTATTAGTTTAATGATAATATGAATATTTTGCATATGGAGGAGCAGAACTGCATAGTTTAAACTATAGGCTATTCATTGTTTGCACAACTAACCTATAACTGTTAGCACCGTTATGCTGGCAGCTGTAACACCTGCCATCCAGACGTCTATTCATCGTCAGAAGGATTTTTCTGCTGTTCCTCACTTTTCAACTTTTCCACATGCATTAATAACTATAGATACATAGTGGCTTCGGTTTTGAGACCCCATATTTGTCACTGCTGGTAAGATCTTTTACGCACAGTTAAGCTGGGAGGCTACAAGGAGCTTAAATGCAGTGCTTCAGATAAATCATTATTTTATCATCACAACATCCTTCACAAAGTAGACAAAAATACAATTGAGGACAGCAGCTGTCCTGTGGGCTCAGTTTAAAGAGACGGACCAGAGATAAATTTAGAAGCAAAAGGTTGTCATATCCAAATACAGTCAAACAGCATCTATTTCCACATCTAACTGAGCTGCAAATATGTATTCATGCTGTAAAACACGAAAAATGTCAGCAAACAATTCTAAACTATAATGTGACTCGAATTCTAAAACATTGTCAGAACTGTGACTGAACCAGATGACACACTGAGAAGCTATTCATGTGAGTATGGTAGACTGAATACGTAAAGTCAAATTAGGACACAGAGTAGTAGGCTACTCAGTACTCACAGGACTGTTTCCCACAGTGTGTTGCTTGATGTAACTCTTCTGATTACACCAGGTGCACTGATGGTAACAGGAGCGGCAGCATGCCTTGTTGGCTGTCTGATTACCCTCCCAAAGCTTCTCCTCATCTTCATTCCCATTCCTGTCCACCTCTTCTTCCTCTTCAGGCCCATGCCCTTTATCCACAGACACAGTACAGAACTGTCTAACCATCCCAGGGAGACAGTCATGTGACTGCCAGTCATTAGACAGCAGAGGGCAAGATGAAGACGAAGCAAAGATCAGTGTAGGGGTTTGTGTGGCTTCTGAGGATTCACTTGTGGATACAGTGACTTCGTTTGGGACAATATGCAGAGCCCCATGTGATAACTTTTTGGTGAGAGTGTTTCGTTGTATCTGCCGGTCTGTCCATGACTGGACTGCACGGAAAGGGGTGGATGTGTCCAAAGGGAGAACACTAGGGAGAAGGGTACATTTTGAGTCAGTCATGTAGGGAACATCCTTTCTGTGGACAATATGAGAAGATAGAGCTGAGGGCATCTGGACAGAAACAGAACAGCTTGATGGCTTGAGGTCTGGGGTTGTGGACGAGGATGGGAATGGGGAGGAAGGTGTGCCTGATGATGCAGTTGCATTACTTAAGGTTTGGTCATTGTCAATTATTGTTGAGGATGACCAAACTAAAGACATAGCTCTACCTGTGGATGAAAATGAATCACCTTGGCCTCTAGGCAACAGAGAATTCTCAGAAGATCCATCTGAGGATTCAAAGCTGCCAGACTCTTCAAGCACATGGGTTGGATTGGAAACCTGAATAGGTTCTGCCCAGTAGGCTCTCCCTTCAGTATCAAGCTGCTCAAAAAAGGCATCCACATCTCCATTTTCAGCTTCTGAGCCATCCACTGAGGTTTGAAATACCATATCTAAGCTCTCAATCTCGATTAGATCCTTTGGAACTTTATCATGTAAAAGTAAAACACTTCTTGATGATCCACTTCCTGTGCCATCCATTTCCATTTGAAAGACTTTTCTAAACTCTTCTGGTTTGGTTTCAGCTGAAAGTTCATCATGCAAACTACAGGAGGGGACCTGTGTTTTTATATCTGTTTGGTTACAGACTTCCTCAGAGACTAATTTAGTGCATTCTGACAGACCGGCAGAACTCTCTGTATCTGAGATGTAAACATCAACCTCTCGAGTCTGCACAGTGTCAGTATGTCTCTCACCCTCTACCTCTACCTCTCCATTTCCATTCTTCTGAAGGGTATCCTCTAAGTCCAAAGCGAGGTGACCCATCTTAACATGAACAACATCTTGAACAGGAGAGGCTGGAGCAGGGTCTGTGTTATCATCTTGAGAACATGGTCTGTCCTGTAGGGAGATGGACTGCCCTGTCAGGTCTGAAATCCTTCCAAAAGCCGTCTCTATAAAACAATCTGGACCATGAGGTTGTGATGACAAGGTAGATTGACAAAATGGAATGGAACCGTCAGGAGAAATGCACGGTAGTGTGGGACAACCTTTGTCAAATTTAGAGCAGTGCAAAATGAAAGAGGATGGAACTGGGGGACTGTCCTTGTCTGAATGAAAGGAGAGAGAGGAGGTGTGTTCTTCCTCTTTCTTTTGTTTACCGGTAGGTGAATAGGGGATGCCAAGTCCAACCGAGTCTGAGAAAAGAGAATCTTTAAAATTATTTTCTAGACTCTGTAAGAGGGATTCAATTAGTGGATAGTCTTTAGATGCTAAAGAGGATGGATGATGAAAATCAGGAGGGGCAGAGGGAGAAAAATAGGAGGACAGAAGCAGAGATGATAATCCACCAGAAGAAGAGAGGACTTGTGTTTTTCCTGGAATCCTAGAGGAGGAGTCAGACTGTGTAAAAGACATAGCAATAGAGGCAGACAGTGGACAGTCCCAATCTGGAGTTGGAGAGGGAAAAGGAGATGAGGCAGGAAGAGGGACACTTGAAAAGGTAGAGCATGCTGTGCTTTTAGAGTCATGAGAAAAAGTAGAGGGGTGGGGGTCCCCAGTTTGAATCTCCTCTGACCCTCTAATCACTGAGGCAGGTTGCATGGGGGGAGATGTAGGGAAGCAAGGAGAAGTGGGAGTTGGAGATTGGGAGTTAGATGCATTCTGTAACTCTGGTGAAGCAGGTGGAGAGTGATCCTGATCTGGTGGTGTCTCTATCTCTGAATTTTGCACATCAGATTTTGGGAGACACAACAAGACAGGAGATGGGGAAGGGTCAAAGACTAATGAATGATCTGGTGTAGGATAGGGTGAGGAGATGAGAGAATTGTCAACACTAGAAGAGGCCAAAGATGAGGAGAGCAGGAGAGATGGTGAGGTAGGAGAGGAAGAAGGCCAACCTGGCCTATCACTGATCTGGCTGTCGTTGCTCCCTCCTGACAGGACTGACAGAGCCTGCAACCAGACAAACAATACAGTCAGTTTTAGTCTAGACTCAAAGTGAATATGCATTAGTAAGGGATGTGACCTTAATGTGATCAGGTCCTGGTGAAGCCTGCTGAGAGAGGGTAGGTATGAAGGGCTCCTCTAGAAAACCACTGCTGTCTGACTGGCAGCTGTTGGTCCGTATTACACCCTGTACTGCTCACACACGAGGGTGGAAGGGGAAAAGAGAAGGAAGGCAGGACAGTGCATTATAATCAGAACGTGTATCCAGGCCAAAGTTACTATTTGTGAAGGTTTTAAAGCGACAGTCCAGTACTTTGAGAAATTTTTCTTAATTCAAAGAGGCACAGAAATAGAATCCAAGGTGTATTTAGTTAGGGCTCGAGCATGAAACGTGCAAGATCCCTATTGAAACTGAAGGGATTAGTAGTGTTCAAACTGCGACGCAGTAGAACCCTTATATGTTTGTCTGTTTCAGTTAAGGTTCAAATCACGAAGCTAACTGTTTCATTTAGGGTGAAAAATCTTGTGCAACTCGCCCCTAGGTGGCGCTATTTAATTCGAAAAAATTCTTCCTGTATAACCACAAGTTACATTGACATGAAACCACAGCCGAATTGTTCAGCATGGTCCCCTGACTCCATGGACCAAAGTTGTCTCTCATGTGCCCATAGGTGGCGCTGTTATTGCAGATTAAAGGCGTAAAAAAAATCCCATTGACGAATGCAAGGCATCGCGTTTCCCAGTAAAGCGAAGTGGCTGGGAACCCTATTGTTTTCGCTAAGGTTTTTGTTAGGGGTCCAAGCCCAAGTGGGGCTGGGAACCGAGATTGCAAGGCATCGCGGTTCACAGATCCAGCAGAGCTGGGAACCCTATTGTAATCGTTCTCGTTAGGGCCCGAGCAAGAGCGTGCGAGGTCCCTATTGAATTTGTAAAGATTATTTAGGGCCCGAGCACGACCGTGCGAGGTCCCTATTGAATTTGTAAAGATTATTAGGGCCCAAGCACGACCGTGCGAGGTCCCTATTAAGATTATTTTTTTTTAGGGCCCGAGCACGACTGTGTGAGGTCCCTATTGAATTTGCTAAGATTATTTTTTTTTAGGGCCCGAGCACGACCGTGTGAGGTCCCTATTGAATTTGATAAGATTATATTTAGGGCCCGAGCACGACCGTGTGAGGTCCCTATTGAATTTGATAAGATTATATTTAGGGCCCGAGCACGACCGTGTAAGGTCCCTATTGAATTTGCTAAGATTATATATATATTTTTAGGGCCCGAGCATGACCGTGTGAGGTCCCTATTGAATTTGCGAAGATTATTAGGGCCCGAGCATGACTGTGCGAGGTCCCTATTGAATTTGCTAAGATTATATATATATTTTTAGGGCCCGAGCACGACCGTGCGAGGTTCCTATTGAATTTGCTCAGATTTTTATTAGGGCCCGAGCACGACCGTGCGAGGTCCCTATTGAATTTGCTCGGATTATATATATATTTTTTTTTTTTTTTCTGCAAAGTAGGCCCAAATGACATGGCCTAAACATACTCGAAAACTCACCAAAATTTGCAAACATGTCAGAACCGGTGAAAAATTTCGTATTCTACAAGTTTCGCACATGGGCGTGGCAAAATGACTCGCTAGCGCCACCTAGAAAATTGGAAATGATTAGCCCCTCGTTCACGTTCAACCTACATGTACGAAATTTTCTGGGGACATGTATCGTATCAAGACGCACAAAAAAGCCTCAAGAACCCATAGCCTAAAGTCAACAGGAAGTCGGCCATTTTGAATTTTATGGCCATTTTTGGATGATTTACATACTTCGTACTTTAACGAACTCCTCCTAGGGATTTAGTCGGATCGACGTCAAATTTCTGCTGTGCCTTCTAAAGGCATTGACGATGAAAAGTTGTGCTATTTGCGAGTTTTCGTCAATGGGCGTGTCCGTGGCGTCGATGATTCGCAATGAAACAGGAAGTTGTTGTAACTTCAGTGTACATGCTCACATCTGGACCAAACTGTACATGTAGGATGAGAGTCCCGCCCTGAACACATGTACATGCTGACATTCACCCACAGTCATAGCGCCACCTGCTGGCAACAGAAAGTGACTTTTAACGAAGCAGCCCCCGCCGCACGTTTCACCTACGTGCACGGATTTTCTGTGGTACGTGTATCTTGTCCAGACGCACAAAAAAGTCTCTTGGAGCCATAGCCTAAACCCAACAGGAAGTCGGCCATTTTGAATTTTACGTCAAATTTTGGATGATTTACACACTTCGTACTTTAACGAACTCCTCCTAGGGATTTAATCCGACCGACTTCAAATTTCTGCTGTGCCTTCTAAAGGCATTGAAGATGAAAAGTTGTGCTATTTGCAAGTTTTCGTCAATGGGTGTGTCCGTGGCGTGGCGTCAAAGATCAAGTCTTCGCCATGACACAGGAAGTTGTCGTAACTTCAGTGTATATGCTCACATCTGGACCAAACTGTACATGTAAGATGAGAGTCCCACCCTGAACACATGTACATGCCGACATTTACCCACAGTCATAGCGCCACCTGTTGGCAACAGGAAGTGACTTTTAACGAAGCAGCCCCCGCCGCACGTTTCACCTACGTGCACGAATTTTCTGTGGTACGTGTATCTTGTCCAGATGCACAAAAAAGCCTCTTGGAGCAATGCCCTAAAACCAACAGGAAGTCGGCCATTTTGAATTTTACGTCAAATTTTGGATGATTTACACACTTCGTACTTTAACGAACTCCTCATAGGGATTTAGTCCGACCGACCTCAAATTTCTGCTGTGCCTTCTAAAGGCATTGAAGATGAAAAATTGTGCTATCTGTGAATTTTCGTCAATGGGCGTGTCCGTGGCGTGGCGTCAAAGATCAAGTCTTCGCCATGACACAGGAAGTTGTCGTAACTTCAGTGTACATGCTCACATCTGGACCAAACTGTACACGTAGGATGAGAGTCCTGCCCTGAACACATGTACATGCCGACATTCACCCACAGTCATAGCGCCACCTGCTGGCAACAGGAAGTGACTTTTAACGAAGCAGCTCCCGCCGCATGTTTCACCTACGTGCACGAATTTTCTGTGGTACGTGTATCTTGTCCAGACGCACAAAAAAGCCTCATGGAGCAATGCCCTAAAACCAACAGGAAGTCGGCCATTTTGATGCTCACATCTGCACCAAACTTTACGCGCTTGATAACTCTCCCACCCCGCAGACATCTACACACCAATACCGATTTATATTCATAGCGGCAAGTGCTATGTAGCTCCACATAGGGGACACAGGAAGTGACATATAGCACCTTCATGTGGCATCGGAACCGTGCAGCAAATTCACAGCCGTACTGGCAGAGCTCCAGAATGTGCAACTCGGCCGGCTCACACCCGGACGCGCTACAAGTGCGAGGGCCCGCCCAACACTGCTTGCAGCTTTAATTATCTATTTATTATGTTATGGATTATTTTATTTGTAATATGATTAAAATGTAAAGGTACAACTGCACATAAGGTCCATTGTACCAACAAAAAATAGAGCCAGCGTAGAGGGGTAATAATCCGAGAAAAAACTAAATTTCCAAGATTAATCTACAAGTAAAAAACTTGAATATTCTCTGACAGACATGGAATAGGTCTGCCAGTAAGCTTCTCAACCTAACGCCACTCTCTGAGCTCATTCTGCCACTCTCAGCCCTGCCAGCCCCGATTATCTGCATCTTTTGTTGTAAATAAACTCCCTGAACCTGCCCACCTTGTGCAGTTTGCTTTTGGGTCCGAGTCTGAGCCGTGGCAGATCCAGAGCTTCTGCTAAAAGTGAAGCTGTCTCACCCTCCGGTTGATGATGTGTGAAGGATTTTGTGTGAAGACGTTAAATGGGCATTCATTTTAATTAATAAATTTGTAAACCTTGAAAAATCATGTTTTTCAAACTGCCTATAGCCCTATGCCTGCCTTGCAATTACTGTGATAGATCTAAAACATAGACCAATAGGTTGAATATTATCGAATGTAGTCTATACACATTTATGAAACAGACTTTGTCTAAAGTAGTCTTTAATTCTGAAACAGGTGTGTTTGGTCCCTCCCTTGTGCAGTTACTCGTAATTTTCCACAGCCGTGTATTGTTTAGCAAAAGTGATCATTATACATTTTTTCATAGGGTAAAAGTCTACTTTGATTTTGGAATTGATTAGGATAATTTTTGCAATAAATATTTTCATTTGGACTTTTAAACCTTTGTATGTGTAATTGTTTGTATGCCTAATGGAGACTGAAACAAACTGTAAGAAAGGTATGAACACCTTTTTATTCTACATTATTTAGACTGTGTTTAGTGTTGTGGAAATTGTTTCTTGCTGGTGAGGGAACTAACATGCATTAAAGATTAAATGTAAGAGGACACAATTTTCTGTCATAACATTTAGAATATAACTACTACTACTAAGTGTTCAGATAGCTCCCAATGTCAATACTGTTCCATTGCAGGCTCTTTCATATAGAATTCGTTTTGGTGCTCCTACTTTGTAATGTAGTCACCTGCACCTGGGGGAGAGAGAGAGAAAGGCACTCTCACACTATAATTCATACTGCGTAATAAAATGTCTACAACTGAAGAGATTAAAGTGATGAAAGAATTTAGTCTTTAAGATAATTGGGTAAACGCAAACTTGATTGACAGCATCACCTTGAGATGTTCAACCCATCTACAACATTTTGTGTTTCCAAGTTTTAAAATTTAAGTTGCACAAAAACATTTTAGCAGATAATAATTGGAAGAAAGTGTCACAGAATCCAAATAAAATGGAAAACTGACTTATTATAATCTGAACACCTCCATTGTCAGCAAGTCTGACTTGTCCCTGGAATTTCAGCTATTTAGAGCAGGTGACTTACTGACTGAGCTACTGGTGAGAGGTTGTTTCCATTCAGTTTCCTTCTGACTATGATATTTTTGTCAGTTTAGATTTAAAACGCTTACAGCAGTCAAAATGGTGACAAAATTCTGATTAAAAAATCAGACATCATTCTGCCGGTTTTGGGTGTGTCAATTATTTTGGTTGCATTTGATACAACACTGAGCAATGAAGAAAATATTGTGCATACTGTACAAGTTACGGCAAGATACTGAATATCACTGCAGACTCATCGTTTGACCGATCTAAAAGCCCTTTGCA